GAGAGAGAGAGAGAGTGCAAGTGAGCATGAGCAGAAGGGAGAGGGAGAAGCAGACTCACCCGCTGAGCAGAGAGCCCAATACAGGGCTCAATCTCAGGACCCTGGGATCATGACCTGAGCAGAAGGCAGACACTTAACCAACTGAGCCACCCAGGCGCCCCCCCCTTTTTTTTTTAAGATTTATTTGTTTATTTGAGAGAGGACAAGAGCATGAGTGGGAGGGGCAAAGGGAGGAGAGGGAGAGAGAATCTCAAGCAGACTCTGCAGTGAGTGTGGAGCCTAATACGGGACTTGATCTCATGACCCTGAGATCACGACCTGAGCCAAAACCAAGAGTCTGACGCTTAATGAACTGCCCCACCCAGGTGCCCCAAATTAAGTTATCTGTAAGTAACCATTTATTAAATCACTGCTATGTGTCAAGAACCATATTAATGACTTCAATAACCTTAGAAATTAGTGAACTTAGAGAAAGTATTTTAGGATAAATAATCCCTATCCAGCCTCATTCTTTTAAATACATGAAGAGATATGAGATGGAGTTTAATATGTGCTGCCTTAAAAAAATAAGTAAAATCCTTCTTCCAAATCAGACTCTATAAATTCTCCAACTAAACTAGGTGACATTAGGCAAATCATATATTCTCTCTGAATCTCCATTTATAACATGGGACCACCAACAACTCTGTAGTTTTTGTGAGGAATAAAGATAACACACACATGTGAGAAGTTGAAAGCTTCCCCTTTGATGTCAGAAATAAGGCAAGGATGCTCTATCACTGATTCAAAAACTAGAAATAAAAAGAGCAATAAAATCAGCTACAATAAAGTTACAAAGCTAAGATATTTGCAAACACGTAACTGAAAAAAGACTAGGATCCTCTATGTGTGGGTATGTGCATGCATAGATTGATACAAATGAATGAGGAAAAGGTAAGCAATCCAGTTGAAAAATAGACAAAAGATCTGAACCAGAACTCCAAAAGAGGAAATCCAAACAGGCAATAAACATACGAAAAAGGCCTTGGCCTCATTAGTAATCAAGGAAACTGACATTAAAAATATAATGGGTTCTCATCACATACTCACCAGACTACAAATAGTAAAATCTCTGACAATACTATACAGTGTAAAGAATGTGGCCTGACCAGAATACATTTGGTATACAATGTGGAAAACAGTTTAACCTCACCTAGTCAAGTTCAAGATACATGTAGATTATGACCCAACAACTGCACTCATAAGTGTATCTTAAAGAAAAGCATGCTTAGAGGTATGTACAGAAGTGTTCACAGCAGCACTGTTTATAACGGCTAAAGCCTGGATATAATCCAAATGTTATTAACAGTCGAATGGATAAATAAAATAAGGAAGAGACATACGATACTACAAAACAATTAACTGAATAAACTATAACTAAATACAATATGATAGACTGATGCTTATAAATAAAATATTGACTAAAAAAATCAAAATACAAAAGAATATTTGTGGTATCATTTCATTCATATGTTAAAAAATAGGAGTAAACCACACTGTTTAGAAATACATGCAGAGAAGGTAAAACCATTTCTAAAATGCAAAGAAATGGGCGCCTGGATGGCTCAGTTGGTTAAGCGACTGCCTTCGGCTCAGGTCATGATCCTGGAGTCCCTGGATCGAGTCCCGCATCGGACTCCCTGCTTGGCAGGGAGTCTGCTTCTCCCTCTGACCCTCCTCCCTCTCATGCGCTCTCTCTCATTCTCTCTCTCTCTCAAATAAATAAATAAAATCTTTAAAAAAAATAAAAATAAATTTTAAAAAAAGCAAAGAAATTTTTATCTCTGGGGAGAAGGGAAGTGATTTTTTTACTGGGAATGGTATTGGGAGGGGGGCAGCTTCTGGGGTGTTGGCCATGACCTATTTCCTGACTTAGATAGTGAATACATGGGTGGTCACCCAAACATACTTTGTATATGTACAACTGTACACATAAATTGTACACCTGTAAGTTTCTGGCACATAGGAGATATATGGCACACTGTATATACTACAGGAGATAGTTAATAAAGACACTTTATAATGATGATCTTATTCTGACTACTATTGCTACTACCTTCACTGATATTACTACTAATTTCTTGTCTGCAGATTACATATGCCCCCTTAAAATACCAGCTCAAAGAGAATATGAAGAAAAATGCCTGTATATGAAAATGTCTACATGCCTATAAAGCTTCTTTATTTGTGCTATTTTCCCTTGTTTCCCCACTGTTACACTTCTAAATGTTTCTTCCTTCTTATATACTCTGCACTATCTTGATAGACCACAAAATTTTGATAGGAACTAAAGTTTTTCCCTCTACATGATTATTTTTTCAGCAAGGATCCCACCATTAGCAGCAGGAGTCCTAAACCTTTGCAGGTTGAATCAGAATAACAGATGATAGGTAAATCGATTTTAGTAAAACCTAACTATCGAAAGGAAATAGTATAAGAACCATACTAGATTCTCACTGCTAACATACCCTGAACTGCTCTTCTCAAGCTCCCAACTCAGAGACTCAATTCTCAGGTAACTGCTGTAAGCCCTTTGCCATAAAAGGTAAGTATTTACATACAAGGCTGTGAAACATACTACATCAAGATGCTCACTATATTTCAATGGTAAGGTTTTTACTTAAGAGAGAAAATAAATATATGATGTTTGAAAAGTGGTTATATCTTAAGTACAACAAAAACTCTTTGATATTTCCAATTTTTGGCAATAAAATATAACATCTACTAGTGATTTTAAAATTCCTTTGTAATACAACCGGAAATCATAAGACATTTCACTTAAAGTTTACTGATGCATGTCGGGGCACCTGAGTGGCTCAGTCAGTTAAGTGTCTGACTCTTGGTTTAGGCTCAGATCACGACCTCAGGGCTGTGAGATGGAGCCCCACCTGAGGCTCTGCACTCAGCACAGAGTCGGCTTAGGATTCTCTTCTCCCTCTGCCCCTCCCCCCTGTGCTCATGCGTGCGCGCACGCGCGCTCTTTCTCTCTTTCTCTCTCTAAATCTTTAAAAAAACAAACAAAAAAAAGGGGGGTGCCTGGGTGGCTCAGTCATTAAGCGTCTGCCTTCAGCTCTGGTCATGATCCCAGGGTTCTGGGATCGAGCCCCACATCCGGCTCCCTGCTCGGTGGGAAGCCTGCTTCTCCCTCTCCCACTCCCCCTGTTTGTGTTCCCTCTCTGGCTGTGTTTCTCTCTAATAAATAAATAAAATCTTTAAAAAAATAAAAGTTTAAATTAAATAAAAATTTTTAAAAAATTTAAAAAAAATTAAAAAACAAAAAAAAAGCTTATTGATGCATGCTAAAGAGAAAGTTACCAGAGGAGAATTAAAACTAAGTAACCAGGTTATAATTACCAACTTAATCACTCCTTTGAAAATATGTAGTATTTAACATCTAAATTTAATTTGATGAAAGGTAAGAATTTAATTTGGTAAAATATCATTAAAACAAAGTGATATTCAAAGAAATTAATTTTAACTGAAAATCAGCATTTCAAAAAATATTTCAAAGAATTCTACTCAGCAAAGGTCTTACAGTCTTAGCATCTGCAGTTTATTAATTGTTCTTCATGACCTTGGAATCAAGACACTATGAGATAAAAAACACCAATGAATCAATGTACATGTATTTAATCCTAAACATCTACTACAAATAAGAAACGGTTAGAAATACAAAGAAACATAGACTTGGTCCCCACCTGATTGATGCATAATTTCAGGAAACACAACATCTATGCCATCTGTGTTAGATAAGAAAATTTATCTAAAAATACAATTAAACAATAATACAAAGTAGGAAGTAATAATATCAAATGTACAGCAATGTCGCCAGAATTTTGAGGGAGGAAAAAAGTGTTATCTAGTTGAGATATTAGAGAGGCTTCATGGAAAAGGTAGAATGAGTAAATTTTAGGTAAGAGGTGGGGAACGGAAAGGACATTCTTACAACTCTATGAAGGTAAAGACTGCTTTAATAAATGACAGAGAAAGAACCAGTATGTACCTGCACTGTACACTTGAAATGGATGTACCCTGTATATGTAATTTATGCCTTGATTAGGTCAATTTTTAAAATTTCAACAAGTATCAAGGATGTTCCCTTTACTGACAATTCCTTTACCATGCTTCCATACTTTCATGATCAAATACATTCAAAGCCAAGCTGCCATAATTATTTATTTAAAATGCCTTTTATTTTATTTTAAAATGCCTTTTAAAAAGCTAATGTTCTCTCTCCCTCTAGTTTGCCTAAGCACATTTATCTTGCATATCACTGCCAAAATAATCTTCCCAAAGAACCTTTCTGAATTAGGTCTCTCTCTACAAACTTTGGAATGTTACCCACAGCCTTTCCTCCAAAAACAACATGGACTTTAAGGTCCTCTACAATTTGGGCTCCATCTACCATGCTGGTCTTTTCACTACTCTCTATACACAGATACACATCTTTCTTCAAATATTTTTTCTATACATAGATATTTTTTCTATAGAGATACTATTTTTCTAAATATACTTTGTCTATTTTCACTTTCTATACCTATCCTCAAGGTATTCTCTCCAAATGATATACTCTTGCCTTCCACCTTAATCCACTCAAAATCTACCTCAGATGTTTACCTTTAAGCATCAACTCTTTTCTGAAGGCCCCTTCAGGTATGATCTCTTCAAACTTTCACTGAAATCTGATTGTGCAAGAAAACTAAAAACATTTTTCTTTATGTCATTAATAAGAGAATACTAGTCCTTGAGGAGTTCACATGATCTGTACCCACAGATATAGAACTGCCTAAAAATTATATAGGACAATATAAAAGGACATGCTTAGCACACATATTCATTCAAAAATTACTTAATGAAAGAATGATTATTCACATATTGTAAATATCCTAAAAAACATTCATATGTAAGACTACAAAAATAAGATGGTAATCTTAATGGATTTTAAAAAAAATGAATTTTACCTTTTCAGTTGTAAGAGGTTTTGCAGGCTTTTCTGGCTCCTTTTCTTTCTTTTTCTCTTCCTTTTTTTTTTCCTTTTCTTTCTAAAACACAGACCATAGTTTTGATCAATTTACTTTGTAAAAAATGTCAGCTCTTAACACATTTTTATTTTACTAGTTTGAGTCATTATTTGAGGAAGTGTTCAGTGATGACAATACCCAGTGATACTGAAATATAAAAGTAAACACAGCAAATTCATATGGTCATTGAAATTACATGTTGATAACACAACAAAGAATATCTTTGCTTTAAAAAATTTGAGACAGGTGAAACTATTTAGAACTTCTTTGAAATTTTAGAGTTTGTTTTAAGCAAATGAGACCTCTACTCAATAAATTCTCACTGTATCTTTACATCAGGCTAGGCTTCCTCCCAGCAACCATCATGTTGAAATTTGAAGAAGAAGAAAAAGTAAACTAACTGCTAAAAGAGAGTTCCTTATCACACAAATGAAGACAGATTACAACATGTGAACATGAGGCGAAAAGGAAAAAAATGCTTTAATTTTTTAAAATATCACAAAACATGGGGGTACCTGGGTGGCTCAGTTGGTTAAGCACCAATTCTTGATTTCGGCTCAGGTCATGATCTCCTGGGTCATATGATCAAGCCCCATGCTCAGCGGGAAGTCTGCTTGAATATTCTCTCCCTCTGCCTCTCCCCCCACTTGCACGCTCTCCCTCTCTTTCTCTCTAATAAATAATCTCTAAAATATCACAAAACATGCTTAGTCCACTACATAATGTTGTGATTTTTAAAAGGACAAGTACAATAATTTTCTCATTAAAAAAAAATGTTAAGGATATGCCTGGTACCAGAGCAAACTGATCAGTGTATTTAATCCAACTCAATCTAGGTAAACAATAATGATACTATGATGACTACAATTTGCATTTCCAAGAAGGATAAAACAGGATATAATATTAAAAACTTAAGTAAGGTCACAAACATGCCAAAAAAGGAAAATGAAATAAAAGATTAAACCATGAGCATTCATTAAGACATTTAAAGGTAAGAGATGCCTAGAAACCTAGAAGTGAATCACTACTACAAATGAGTATTAATTAGTACTTTAGTTTCCTAGCAGCAAATGGGAAAAGATAAACTGGATGAACCTAGGAAAGGCAGAATAATAAACACACAAAACTCAGTCAAAATGCCTATTGGTTTGTTTGTACCTGTGTCTTTAAAATGGTATTTGACACAACCTTTCAACAGTATAATTTTTATTATTTATAATTGAGAAAAGATAACACTGGCAATTCCTAGGCTATAACATAAGGCATATAATAAAAGTTCCTATGGGCCAGACACTGTGGTAATCACCTTATTTTCTAATTTAATTTATACAATAAATGTCTGAAAAAAATGTGATCGTGGTTGTTTTACAAATGAAGAAAAAAAAACAGGAAAGTAAGGCAGGAAGCCTCACCAACTCAATCAGTAGGAGGACCGAGGGAAGACAGAGCCAAACTCCCAAGTGCGGCACTGGTATTTATTGCTATTCTTTCATACCACAATGGTTAATATTTATTGAACCCTTACTATGTGCAAGATACCGTCTTCACTCATTGAATCCTTACAACATCTTTGTAAGTAACCTTATCCCATTTACTAAGTGAAGAATAAATGAGATATGCACCTCTACCTCTGAAACCAATAATAATTATGTTAAATTTAAATAAAACCAAATTAATTTAAAAAAATAAAGCCAAAGTTAATATAAAAAATGAGATATGCACAAATCTTTTATCTATTATGAAATATTTTCTAGATATTGTTAATCAAATTTGGTGAGGAAAGCAATGTGATTAAATATTTTCACTAATGTTGGGGAGGAATTGTTCTATACCCTCACAGAACTGTTAATTTCTCAAGGAAGGCACTGTCATGAGAGTGGGGAAGAATGCTTGTCCTTCTAATCACTGTAACTGGTAGGCACATATGACATCACTAAAAATGACTTATACAGCTAGATTTAATAGAGAGTACAACTCAGTGCTCTTCAACACTGGAATTTCAGCTGCTAAAATATGGCTGTCATCTAATCTGATTTCAGCAGAGGTATTATGACACAAGTTTTGAAGTAACATTAAAAACATGGGCTCTGAATGCAGGTCATACAGTTTGATCCACAAATGACTCCCATCTCTAGAATCAAAAGCTGCTGAAAGATCAGAATACTGTGAGAACCTAATTTGTTTTAAACTATTTTCAAGAACAAAATATAGCTGTATTTGGTATTGTAAAATAGTTCCTGAAACTTGGTTGCTATATATACAAATGATGTAGTGAAAAAGACCTTCTATGTAAAAAAAAAAACACAAAAAAAACAAAACTGGAATAAATGTCCAATTTCTGTAAGATAGAGAAAAGCATGTATTGGGTTCATTATACTCAAACTATACTTGAGTGACGTGATTAAAGATACAGTCTTCAAAAAACTGTTATTTCAAAAAATTGTTATTAGGTACTCCTACTTTAAAAAGTTGTGAACATATATACTATACCATGCATATATACTTCTTTATAAAGTATATACAACACTACATTATGCACATTATAAAACATACGTAAAAATAGAAATTTTGAAAGGATAACAAAAAAAAAAGCACAAAAAGACATCATAAATGAACTACCTTGGGGCTCTCTCTAATATTTAATGCTACAGACATCAGACTCTGGAGACCACTGAATTAGACCAATGCCTTTCTTTCAAAAAACTGAAGTATAATTTACATATAACATATTAATTTCAGGTGTACAAAATGATTCAATATTCATATTATAACACTGCAAAATGATCACCATCATAGGTCTAGTTTCCTCCTGTCACCAAATAAAGTTACATAGTGAAATACAGTACTGTTGCTCTAGTCACCATGTTATACATTACTACCCATAACCAGTAAGACCAACAGCAGGGAATTTACTATGTTTTCTTCTAGTAGCTCTATGATTTCAAATCTTGCATTCAAGCCTTTAATCCATACTGAGTTAATTTTTGTATACAGAATAAGATACTGGTCCAGTTTTCCCAAACCATTTATTGAAGAGACTGCCCTTTCTCCACTGTATATTCTTGCCTCCTCTGGCATAAATTAACTGACCATATATATGTGGGTTTATTTCTGTGCTCTCTATTCTGCTGCAGTAATCTATTTATCTGTTTTTATGCCAATACCATACTGTTTTGATTACCATACCTTTGAAATCAAGGAATGTGATGCCTTCATCTTTGTTCCTCTTTCTCAACATCACTTTGGCTATTCAGGATCTCTTATGGTTCCATACAAATTTTAGAACGTTTGTTCTATTTCTGTGAAAAATGCGATTGGGATTTTGATAAGGATTGCACTGAATCTATAAACTGCTTTGGGTAATACAGACATTTTAACAATATTAATTCTTCCAATCAATGAACATATAATTATTTCCATTTACTTGTGTCTTGTTTCATTCATCAATATCTTGAACTTTCCAGTGTAGAGGTCTTCCACCTCCTTGGTTAAATTTCTTCCTAGGTGTTTTATTCTTTTTGATGGGATTGTAAATAAGATTGTTTTCTTAATTTCTCTAACCATTTGTTGCTAGTGTAGAGAAAGAATAGATTTTTGTATATTGATTTTGCATCCTGCAACTTTACTGAAGTTCTTAGTTCTCACACCTTTTTGGTGGGGTTTTTAGGGTCTTCTATATATAAAATCACGTTGTCCACAAATAACGATTTTACTTCTTCCTAATTTGGAAGCATTTTTTTCTTTTTCTTGCCTAACTTGTCCAGCCAGAACTTCTAATACTATGCTGAATAGAAGTGGTAAGAGTGGGCATCCTTTCTTGTTCCTGATCTTAGAGGAAAAGCTTTTAGCTTTTCATCATTGAGTATGATGTTAGCTGTGGGGCTTGTCATATATGGTCTTTATTATGTTGAAGTACATTTCCTTCATTCTTGCTTTGATGAGAGTTTTTATCATAAATGGATTTTGAATTTTGTCAAATGCTTTTTCTGCATCTGTTGAGATGATCGTGATTTTTATCCTTAATTTGTTAATACTGTAGATCATGCTGATTGATTTGCAAATGTTTAACCATCCTCACATCCTTTCAATAAATCCCATTTGATCACAGTGTATGATCTTTTTAATGCATTGCTGAGTTCAGTTGGCTAACAGTTTGTTGAGGATCTTTTCATCTATGTTCATCAGGGATATTGGCTTGTAGTTTTCTTTTTATTGTGGTGTGCTTGTCTGGTTTTAGTATCAGGATAATGCTGGCCTTGTAAAATTTTAATTGGGAAGCATTCTCTCCTCTTCAATTTTTTGGGAGAGTTTGAGGTACGATTCACTAATGAAGCCATCTGGTCCTGGACTTTTGTTGGTTGGGAGGTTTTTGACTACTGATTCAAACTCCTTGCTAGTAAATGATCTATTCAGATTTTCTATTTCTTCATGATTCAGTCTTGGCAGATTGTATATTTCTAAGAATTTATCCATTTCTTTTAGACTCTCCAATCTGCTGGCATATAATTGTTCATAGTAGTCTCTTATAATCTGTTCTATTTCTGTGGTATCGGTCATTACTTCCCTTTTTTTATTTCCGATTTTATTTGAGCCCTTTCTCTTTTATTTCTTGATGAGTCTGGCTAAAGGCTTATCACTTTCATTTATCTTTTCAAAGAATTCGGCTCTCAGTTTCATTGATCTTTTCAATTTATTTTAGTCTCTATTCCCTTTATTCCACTCTGATTTTATTATTTCATTCCTTCTACTAATTCTGAGCTTCATTTGTTCCTCTTTTCCTAGTTCCTCTGGGTATAAAGTTAGATAGTTATATGGGATTTTTCTTATTTCTTGAGGTAGGCCTGTATCACTATCAACTTCCCTTTTAGAACTGCTTTTCCTAAATCCCACAGATTTTGCTATGCTTTATTTTCATTTGTCTCAAGGTATTTTTTAATTTCTCTTTTGATTTCTTCATTGACCCATTAACTGTTCGTAGTGTGTTGTTTAATCTCCATATATTTATTATGCTTTTTCCAGTT